ATAATGATTTTCTCCATTTGAAAATTCTTTGTCAGAATCCTCCAGGAAACTTTCTATTTTCTGCAGTATACTATAACGTTGCCGGAGACAACATGGCCAGTGGTAAGTTCCGTGTGGAGGTGCGTGGGAAGATAGCTGTAGTAACCACTGACTGTGGAGAGAACCGCTTCAACTTGGACTTTGTTAACAAGTTGAACAAAGCTTTGGATGAAGTGGAAAGGTTAGTTGTGCATATTACTTGGACCTCATTTTTTAAACAATGTTATTGCAACAGTTTTATTATGTTTTATTGGATTGAGGGTCCTCTTACTAGTATGTTTGGCTATATCTATATCTCCATAACTAAGTACTAGTATTCTATTACTAGAGGATTTTTTTTTCTTTCCCTGCAGTAATCCGAATGTTCAGGCTGTCATCACCACTGGCATTGGGAAGTTCTTCAGCAATGGTTTAGATGTGAACTGGATGGGACAGGTGGCAAAGAACAACCAAGTGTCCGAGTTGATTAAATTCTTTGAGGGTATACATGCACTGAACAGGAGGATGATAACATTCCCAGTTCCTACCATTGCTGCAATCAATGGTATGTTGTTGGCTTTACTTTGTCCTCTAAAATCATACACAACAGGATTCCAAAGTGGGTTGGTGAAAAACAATGTCCAGTCTGATTTGTGGAAAACAAAGACCAGTCCAATTTAAGGGTGGAAAAGACAGTCTGGCCATTTTTGCGTGCAGTAGTGCCCCCTTGCAAAACACAATAAAAGTGCAAGCAGTCAGCTTCTTGTTTAGTTATGCCTAAATTCACTCACAATTTCTCTATGGAAAGTATTACAGTATCTGTATTACATGTATTGAAAAAATGTGATGATTTGTATCTTTTGACCTCTGTATGTTTCCAGGACACTGTGTGGCACAAGGTGGTTTCTGGGCCCTACACCATGACTACAGGTTGATGCGTACAAAGCGCAGCTGGTTTTCCCTGCCTGAAGTTCACCTCAAGCTACCTATAGGTGAACACAACATCAAACTGGTCAGGTGAGTTTGCACTGTTGTGTTATTTGGCTAGTGATGTAAGTGTAGGAAAAGTGTTAGGCTGTTCGAGCGGTCAATCAGTCAACAGCAACTGATTGACCACAGCATGTTACCGTTGTTGATTTTGAACAGAAAATGTTGTACTGGGGTGACATAAACACTTTAAGATCTACAATAATCATAGAATGACAAAGTTAAGATCGAGTGTGCTCTCAGAACAGGTATGAAGAATAATGGGAGTTTTAAGTTGAGGAATCAAATTACATAAGTCAAAACATTTCTGCCTGTTGAATACAGGATGAAGGTAAACGGTGATGTGGCCCGGGACTCCTTGGTGTTTGGGAAGTGGTACAGTCCAGAGGAGAGTCTTCAGGCAGGTTTTGTTGACCAGCTGGCAGAGCCGGAGGAACTGTTGGAGTCAGCAATTAAGTATGTGGTGATGAGGCCATCTTTTTACTTGTAAATTACTAATACCAGCTAGTTCTTTCCTTGTTGTTTTTAAAAGTATGTTTAAACCTTGCAAGATGGGGATCAACAACCATAGACAGTACATGAGTATTTCAATTGCTATGAAAGAAGCAAAATTTCTTTCTTTCTTTTAATACTTCTTTATTTGGCTTTTTCATTGGGACAACACACAATGGTGGGGGAAACAAAACAGGCGATTATTCACCTCTACTTGTTGTCTCCCCTGCAACATATGATATACTAAAATAGATAAGCTATAATATACACTGTATAATGATAGTCTGCTTTTGTTTAGTTTCTATTTATTAATAGTGCTTGTTTACATGGAGTCTCCATTGCAGATTTGCCCACCAGTGTCTGGGGACCCGGGGGTTTGACCGTGGTACACTGAAGGCCATGAAGGAAAATGTGTACAAAGATCTCCTGGATGTGGAAGACACAATGCCTGATTTAAACAGATACACAAAACTAGCCAAACCCAAACTGTGAATCCATTCAATGCATTCCTTGTAGTATGGATAAGATGATTTATGATGATATAAATAGTATCAGTCAATGTCACTGTGCTTCAAAGAAATGTTGCATCAAGGAGGTCATAGGCAGGTATGTTGCTTAAAGATTGATGCTGGCCATGGATGCAGGATATAGAATTTAGGAGGTTTTAAAAATTCCCTTACACTTAAATGCATGTACTTGTGACATACCAATGTCACTTACATTTTACCTATACATTTATGTCAAGTTATAATAGATGCATCTCTGGTTGCGGATACTAAATAAAACAATTAAGACTGTAAAATAATTGAAGGTTGAAAGTGTAAATCGATCCTTTGTGAAAACTACTAACATTAAAATTGTGATCATTTCTGTCATTAGTCGACCAATAACTACAATCGTAGATATTGATACAAGATATACAATATATATATATATATTAATAATAATATCTTGTATGTTACTTTTGGAGCAACATTTTATATGAATTATTATTATTTTTAATTCAAGGGGAATGTCTTAACATTGTCAATCTAGCTTGTTCCTGCTATATATATATGACAACACTGCAGCAGTTTTAAGACCGTTCTTTTTACTTCGTGACTTCCCTTTCTTTATTTAGTGCATTCCATGCAAAGCGCAGATTTTGCAATAACATTGCAATCTCCGGATGTGCCATGTTGTTTCCATACACAGTTTTCCTCATCTCTAAAGACTGTTGGAAATAGCTGATCGCTCTCCTGTGATCGCCCAGTTTACCCCAACATGATCCCAGGTTGTGAAGTGATGCAGCAATGGCCGGGTGTGGCATATTTTGTCCAAAGATAGTTTTCTTCATCGCTAGCGACTGTTCGAGGTAGCTAATTGCTTTCCTTTGATCGCCGAGGCTGCTCCATGAAGTTCCCAGGTTGTTGAGTGTCACGGCTATGTCTGGATGCGCCACGTTGTTTCCATAGAAAATTTGCCTCATAGATAGTGATTGTTCAAAGTAGCTAATTGCTTTCCTCTGATCGCCCAGTTTACCCCAACACGACCCCAGATTGTTTAGTGACGCGGCAGTGTCAGGATGTGCTGTGTTGTTCCCATAGAGTGTTGTTCCTATCTTTAATGATCGTTCATAGCAGCTGATAGCTCTCCTCTGATTACCGAGTTTACTCCAAGATGATCCCAGGTTATTGAGTGTCATAGCTATGTCTGGATGTGCATAGTTGTCTCCATAAACGATTGTCACCAGCTTCAGTGATTGTTCAAAGTAACCAATTGCCTTCTTCTGATCGCCCAGCTTATTCCAAGATGTCCCCAGGTTCTGAAGCGCCTTAGCTATGTCCGGATGTGCCGTCTCGCTTCCAACGATAGTTTTCCTCATCGCCAGTGATTGCTCCAAGTAGCGAATTGCTTTCTTGTGATCGCCAAGTTCGCCCCAAGACGATCCCAGATGGAGAAATGACGAAGCAATGTCAGGATGTTCAGTGTTGTCTCCATACACTGTTTTTGCTATACTCAACGATTCTTCAAAGAAGCTGATTGCTTTCCTTTGATCGCCAAGCCTACTCCAAGATGACCCAAGATTTTGAAGTGTTGCGGCAACGTCTGGATGCGCTGTGTTGTGGCCATATGTAATTTTTCTTATCTTTAGTGCTTGCTCTAGGTAGGTAATTGCTTTCCTCTGATCTCCGAGACAATTCCAAGATGATCCCAGGTTGTGAAGTGACGTAGCAATATCTGGATGTGTCGCATTGTCTCCATAGATAGTTGTCCATTGCTGTAGTGATTGCTGGAAGGAGCTAATTGCCTTCTTGTGATCGCCGAGTTTACTCCAAGATACTCCTATGTTGAGAAATGACCCAGCAATGTTCGGATGCGGCGTCTTGTAGATGGTACTCATCATTGTTATCGATTGTTCTAAATAGCTGATTGCTTTCTTCTCATCGCCGAGTTTACTCCAAGATGTTCCCAGGCTGTTCAGTGACGCAGCGATGTCCGGATGTGCCGTGTTGTCTCCATGGATAGTTCTGCTTATCCTGAGTGACTCTTCGTAGTGGCTTATTGCTTTTGTGGCATCACCGTGCATTTCGCAGGATAGGCCCAGTTCGTAGAGAATTTTCGAACGTTCGACATCGTCGCTATCCGTCTCTTGTAGTGCCGCATCCCAAAGACGAATAGATTCGACTGGCAAGAGAAGATTTCTTGCTATTCTGCCCCTACACTGATTGGAGATATCAAGTATATTTGACTCCAATACCATTTTGCGGTGGACGTCCAAACTATCTAAGACAACATCCGGTATACACGGATTTAAGGGGATAGCCCTGCAGTAGTATCGAAACAAGACTTTGGTGTCTTGAATGTGGAATACGGACTTCAGTGTTGTATCAGACACCGCCGCACCCGCTGCTGATTGATACGTCGTTTCGGAGAGAGGGGACAGGCTGTCTTTTTGTCCTCCGTTGGCAATGTATGTCCTCAGCCGAAGTTCTGCCGAGATACTAGTCAGTACTGTCAGGTGGCTGGCGTTTTCTTCATGGATGCGTCGCGTCTTGCGCAGTTCATCTATGATACTCCACGTGCTAGCATGCGTGGTCTGACAACACAGGGCGAGGATATCCACAGCAATGCCTGGATAACGGTACATGTCCTTCTTGACATTTATCAGTTGACCAGTCGGTTCACCGGCAGTGAAGACTTGGTCCTTGTTGTCCCATAAGACTTGTAAAGCAGACAGACGGGACCGACTACGGGAGCGGAGATCACCTGTGATGATTTCACTGAGCTTGACCATGTACTCATTCCCTAGAGACTCTGTCCCCGTCAAAAAAACAAAACGTCTGAGGATGTCTGACAGGTGGTATCCCTCTGCCAGGGCAATCTCTATCTGCTGGAATTTCGCCATCTTAGAAGGGGTCTGGATGAGGCTGACGGAAGGTTTGGTCTTAGTCTTGTCTCTTCCAAAGGGTGTCTTGCAAGCCCACGGCATGAAACCGTCGAAGGCAAACCCACGAGGCGTGACGGAGTCGTAGAACCAGTCTTTCCCTGGGTCTTCAGACTGGAAGTCATTTAGTGACGGGATGGCCATGGCTGGGAGGATGGTTTCTCCGAGGTTGATGACTTTTTAAGTTCAGGTAGTGTGTGAGGTTGAGGAAGTATTGCCTTGTAATGTCCTTGTCCTTTCCTTCCTCAATCAGAATGGCGAACTCCAGATCGGAGTAGGGCGTGACCAGTTCTGTTGCTTGTGAGCCTAGTCCTATGAAAGCGTACTTACACGGAGGGACACCGAGTGTGTCAATACACTCGTCAACAAGGTCTTTGATAAAGACCTGTCTGTCCTTGGCGATGGTTTTGAACAACTCTTTGACCGCCTCGGCTCGCTCAATCTCGACTGGTATCATAGCTGGGTCATCTTCGTCATATTGGTACGGATTGTGTTGCTGATCGATGGCTTCTAGTTGTGACTCTGCCCGGGAGCGCATGTTCTCTAATATCTTCTTATGGTGTATGACCGTATCATACGAACTCGGTTCCACTTGTACATTTGCTGTGAACTGAAGAAACGACTGCTCCGTCTCCCGTAGGCATTCCGTCAATTTTTGTTCTTTTCCGCCCGCTGACCTGGCCATGGCTGCATTGTACAGAGCTGCTGCCTGTGTGAACTTTCTGCCTTCTTTTGTTGTTTTGCCTCGCTGGACGTAGACATCTCCAAGTCTGCGCAGACACTCGGCTTCCTTCCAACAGTCGGGTTTGTTGCGATCTGCATGCACAAGACAAGTAGAATAAGTTGGATTTCAGGCAGATCGCGATGTCTGGCATTAGATTAAAACATATGGCTTATTACCGTGGCTATAAAAGTAGGACTGAATAAATGTTGAAAAGGAAAGGAAACTGTAAAAACACAAACCGTGAATCAGTTTTAGTGCGGACGTGAATTGCCGTTCTGCCAAGTCTAGCTTTCCTACTGCCAGTGCGCGGTCTCCTGTAGTCAGGTGCTGTCTGTAAGCCCTACAGTCAGTGGGGAAGATGGGGTATTAAGACTTTTCAACAAATTTCTTGGCAACACTTTAGGAGCGAGCCTGATAAACAGCTGCCCACTTCAAGAACTTTTGGTATTTATAGTGTTCTTGCGAGCAGAGTTCATATCTGTTTGTCCCCGGATACATGTTCATTAGTATAGGGTATCTTTTGAGGGACCTGTGCCATTCCATTGCATTATGACAGGAACATTCAGTCGACAGAGAAAAAGAAAATCTGCAACACGTTACCAAGGAAATACTGTGCAAGATCAAGATATACCATGGGAATTGAGGGATTCTTTACTAACCTGTAGTCTGGAGTTGCATGTTTGGTCGTCTGGCTTGCGATGTACTCTCTAGACGACCTGATATAAGGTACAATTGTTTACACAAACTAAACAACTGATCCCTGCCAAAGTCTAGATATCCAAATGTTTACTTTGCTTAATGCTTGAATAAGGTAGGTTTATCTTCAAGCTAACCAATGTTACAATGGCAATATCCATGTAATAAAAACTAAATCACATGCACATGATTTGTAACATAATGCCAAAGCCATAAAGTATAGTTTTATGGCGTTGAAATCAATGCTACCGGACTGTAGCCATTTTCTAAGCATACGGTGCACACTTAGATATGGAATACAGTGAATAATCAACAATTTATGCTACAAATAGATGTTAGTATCTGTTTAAAACACCCTCTGAAATGACCCTTTTACTTACAGGAACTGGTGACCCGAGACACCTGGCATGGTCTTTCCTGACGTTATTGGGAAGTGCCGAAATAAGTGCTGTTGTAGTTGTCTTTTCTCCCTTAGTCTTAGATCCTTCAATAAGAATTAACAGGTGGTCATTTGTCGTCCCCCTCCCGCCCTTAAAGTATATAAATGCGACAATATTATCAATTGGTAAGTCGACAAAATGTGAAACTAATGTAAGATGACACGTCACTAAGATAATATATTTCTACGAATCGAACTGGCTGTTTCTTTGAAGATACAACCAAGCCACCATAGCATCTGTTATCATCTGTCATTTGGCCCTTTACTTACACACATTAAACCAAAAAGACCTACATATACGAAAACGTACCTGTTTTCTGATATTTTCCGTTTCCTGTCTGATTTTCGCTGTGTGCAATAAGCGGTGGACGAGAGCGACTTTTCCCTGAGACTCGCCACACCGTGCCAGCGCAGTGTTGTACAGGGCAGAGGCTTTGGTCATGTATGCCGTGTCTCTGGTTTCTGTTCCTCTTTCCAGGTAAACGTCGCCGAGACTTTTTATCGCCTCTGATTCTAAAAGATTGTCCCCGTTCACAATACCTTCAACCAGAAACTTCGTATATTGTGTCAATATGAGATCTTTCTTACAGCTGTCCGTCAACATTGAATCCAGTGGCTGTAACTTCTCTGCTACCTTGGCAAGCGAAGGTATTTCTTTGTCCTTAGCAAGTGGTTCATAACTAACGGAGGCTGTCCGAACGGTTACCTTTCCTAACCGTAGTTTCTCCGCATACAGGTAACGATTTTCGAGACTTTCTCCCACGTTCGCGTCCTCACACCGGAGTAGCGCAGTCCTATACAACACCATAGCCCTGTCGAACATCTCTGGGTTATTGTCGAGTTGTCCCCTTTCCACGTTTACATCGCCCAAACTTTTGAGCACTTCCACTTCCATCAGCCTGTCCATGTCTGCCATGGCGTCCAACAGAGCCCGGAGGTAGTCAGGTTCGGTGCGCACCAGACCGAATCTTTCGCTTTTCTCGTCCACCTGGCGAAGTTTTTCACAGATCCTCAACATTTTGGACTCTTGATTACCAGGGTGGTGACTTTACAACATTGCCTGATCATCCACGCCGTTACACGTCGAGAGATTTCTATAACAAACGCATTGCGGAGCCCAGTCTGTGCACCTGCTCCCGTAACCCTAACCCGCACCTGCCTGTATAGCGGTACTTAAAATTACTTCCGTCATCCAACCCAATGACCCGAATACTCCCATCGTCCTTTGCACTTAGGGACATACATGTACTCTTGTTTCACAGATCCATTGTTCGACTTCTTTCTCTCAGCCAGCCAGCTGAAATCCTCTCACGGTTGGCTCGACTCGAAAAAACTCAATACATTGCCCTTGGTCATATATAATCATGGGCGGATTAAGTTTGCCGTCACGAATAAAAGAAGTTCTTAAAAAGGTAAATCGGTATCTCTAGATTATTTCTAATTTAAATAAGAAATAGACTTTTTTTCCACAGATGGTGAAAACTGGTGGATCATCGATTTAATGCCCGACTGGTGGTCTCAGTGCAGTTTGTTGAAAACTACAACTGAAACATACTGAATATTAACCATATAAGTAAGAAACAGTCGGCTATTTCTTGGTTATAAATTAAAGCGCGGTGACTACTTCAGGCCTGGACAACTTTACTTGCTAAACTTCGGACGGTTTGCAAACTGAATTCCTGCACAAGTCAAAGGCGCAAACTGAAAATGGCACAACATAACGTTACATATAATGTCACGTCTACATGTATTTCGTCTTGTAAAAAAAGAGGGGACTGTCAATGTCAGGTATGACCTTGGCCAAGCAGTTTGTATAATCTCTTCATCATCGTTACTTGTTTTTGGGACTCTTTAAGTAAAACGTTGGTATGAGACTATTATTTTGATACAGCGGTGTGAGACATTTTGCTAAAAGCCAAAGGTCAACGACCGAGCGGGGTTGGACTATGCCCTATATTATGCTACAATCTATGCAATACATGTGTGACTAGCCGCGGCGACTGTTGCAGGGCTTCTCTTGCTTGCAGTCTTTTACATTAGCCCTAACATTAGGTGAGGCTGTTAGGAATCTAGGGACGTGCAAACTTCGGTCTCAAAGTGTTGCGGCACGGTAAAACGCATGTTTGTTCATTTGGCCCAATGCACCGCTCCGCGACTGTTGTTAGGGCTACTGTAAAAGACTGCAAGCAAGAGAAGCCCTGCAACAGTCGCCGCGGCTAATGTGTGACTTGCTTATATGCAACGCTAACTTCTGTTTTCTACATTTAACGAGCCTGTAACAGAATGGCCAGCGGTGACATTAGTGTGGAGGTGAGGGGGAAAGTGGCAATAGTGTCCATGGACCGGGGAGAGAACAGACTCAACCTCAAATTTCTGGCCGATCTGAATGCAGCACTTGACAAGGTGCTCAGGTAAGAACTTTTCCGGTCATTACAGGCTCTACAAGAATGTGGCTTCTCATGTGCGCTTTAATTGTCAGCTAACAATGTTAAGTTGCAGCGGACCAGTCACCTGGCACCAATTTTGTTTGTTTTGGAGCTAGTTAATGTTAATTCATGACTGAAAGAAATGGACCAAGACTTGTTTCTCCCAGTAACCCAGATGTCCAAGCCGTGGTCACCACAGGAGTGGGGAAGTTCTACTCCAACGGGATAGACCTGGACTGGCTGTTACCACAGGGACTTGACGTTCAGCGTCAGTTTCTGGATAAATTCGGAGAAACGAAGATGAGGATCCTCACATTTCCCATTCCTACAATCGCTGCCATCAATGGTAGGACATCTCACAGTGTAACATACATAATATTATACAAAATTTATATATCTCTAGTTACACATACACACAAACACACACACACACACACACACACACCTTCTCTCTCTCAGCTGTTGATTTACTTTTAATTGTTTTTGTGTTACGTTGTGAGTGTGATTTGCCATTCAATTTTCCCCATAATTTTGTGTGGTATGGTTGTATAAATAGACTGAAGCATATTTTCCAATCAGTTCTGCTAAATCTCTATTCTGACCATTTGTACATGCCTTTCGTACAGGACACTGTATTGCAGGTGGTTGCCTGTTAGCTATATGCCATGACTACAGAGTGATGCGGTCCAAGCGAGGCTGGCTCTCCATGCCTGAAATACACATCAAGCTGCGCTTTGACCCTGCCATGGTGGCTTTGCTCAAGTAACTGCATAGTATCCTTCACTTTTCTTTCATTTCAACTTTCTACTTGAAAATATTGGTTTATTCAGCTAACATTCCCAAAGCAATTCTTATGTCCTAATGTATATGTGGCAAACTTCTTAAACAATTAGATATGTTACATACCATACCATAGATTTGGTATACTTGTGAAAAACACTCTGTAACGTTGTAGCAAAGATATTTTGAAACTTTTAGTCAACTTTTAGTCATCTTGATGACTTAACAATTCTTTAGCATTTAACCGTTTCAATCCAATAATATTTATCAGCAAAGCTTACTCTCCAAGCAAAGGTTTGGCTTTTTTATCTGGATTTCTTTTTTTTTCACTGGCGAAAGATGCCAGTGCAAAACAGAAAGCCTGATAAAAAAGCCTAAAACATGCCAAAAATAAGCCAAAACCCAAACCTCTGCTTGGATGGTAAGCTCACCCTGATTTGTTGACCCCGAAGGCCCTGTTTGTAGTACAACTGTATATATATATCAAATTCTAACTGACCCAACAGGAGAAGACTGCCTGACGGTGATGTTCAGAGAGACCTCCTGTTGTTTGGAAGGAGGTTCCCAGGTGAGGAGTGTGCCAGGAGGGGAGTGGTGGATGCCGTGTGTGAGGTGGAGGAACTTGTGGACCAAGCTGTCAGGTACAGTCTGTAGAACATGTCAAGTCTCATCCCAAGGTCAAGTATAATTTGACCTTTGAGAAGACACCTTTGTGTCAGTCTTTTTGTGTCAGTCAGTTGACAGCATGTGGTAGACTCTTGTACACCTTTTGATACTTTATAGTCTTTGCATAATCTTCAAGCTGATATACGGAGATACATCAACAATGGGTCTCTCTTTAGAATTGCATGTATAACTGTGACCTGAATATTCATCGAAGAACATACTGTGTTGATCACATTTGACAAAAAAGACATTGTCAAAAACTATGTTTCATGTATAAGATGAGGATTACGTAGAGAACTCTTTTGGTCTGCCTTTCCATGATATCACATTGATTTTTAGAGGAACATCTGATAGACCTTTTCTTCATTTCATCATAATATTACTCTTGCAGGATGGCCAATAAGTGTGTAGGAAAGGATGGCTTTGACCGGCCCATGATGAAGGCCATGAAGGAAGATGTGTACAAGGAGGTGATGGAGGTGTATGAGAAGGAAACCAAGTCTGGACGGGACCTCGTCAGGGATAGGAGGCCACAGGCAAAGCTATGATGGGACACCCCACAGCAATATACTACCTTTCCTTTTTAGAACCAAGATCAAGTTGATGTACACTGAAGATGTAAATATAATTTAGAACTACAATAGTTACAATTCCATTGTTGTTTTGAAAAAGAACATGTAACTTATCAACAGGATTATATTTAGAATGGGCAGTTAAGGATAAAGTTAGGAGTCAACATGCAGCATTGAAGGAGTCAACAAGCTTGAATGATGCCATATGTATACAGTAATGTCTTGAGAGTATATTCAAATTCTGTCTAATACATGTGTTGATGTTTATAATACAAAAACACATTGCATCATTATTTTTACTATGAGTATTTCAATTTCAAAACATAGAAATACTTTTTATTGTACAAGTTGATGCCGAACAGTATTTTGAACCCTGAGTAGTTATATGTTAAAATGACATCCTACTTTCAGTTGAACATGTACTGAAAAAGTTTAAATCTATGACCATTAAGTTTTTCATTGATCATGCACCATGAAGCTGTTAAATGTTAGTGTTATGCACTAAAATGTATATTTCTCATCATAATTAAATTATTGATTATCTAGCATTCTCTTCAGCCTTTTTTCTTTGTACTTGTAGTGCCTCTTGCAATTTCTTCTTCTTCTCCTGAGCCTTTTCTCTGTTTTTCCTTCTGTTTTCTTGTCTCTGCAATGATAAAAGGATTATTACTGTAACTGCCTTCAAGTACCGATAGTAACCATGGACAGACTTGGACTTGTCAAAAGACTTGTCAGCAACCAGTACAATTACGTACACACAATACATACATACATACATACATACATACTTGTACATGTATTTTGATGTATGCCACATTCAAACAGTTTAATCTTTAGGAATAAAACTTGAAGTATTACTTTCTTTGTAAGTCAATTTTCATATACTGCAAAAATATCTACTGACCTCTTGTGCAAGACATCTGTCCATCAGGGCATTCTGCTCATTGCACTTTCCCAAGAATCTTCCAAATGGGTTCTGTGCAAGAAATGGTTCAATGATAAGAGAGCTTTTTTCTACACATGGCATCCTATTCTTATCTCAGGCATTCAACATATAAAGACTGATTTTTTCATGATTATAAAAACTTTTAATAAGTCAGCATGACTCAGCATGCATAAATATATACATTTATCTCACTAAAACAGCCACCATTCTAATGCTGATGATAGCTGACTGATTTCTGTAAAATGCCAGCTTACTTCTATGTGACACTTCTGCAGGGCTTGGATAAGCTGGTTGCACTCTTCAGTGTGCAGATGGGTGGAAAGGTCACCGTGCATGTTGTCACTGCTGAAATTACAAGTTATTTGATCTTCATTTAATAGCATTTGCAAATTGTCACAATGTTACTTTTAATGGAGATAGCATAGCACAGAATGGCCCAGAATGTCCAGCAAAATATAGTCATTTTAATAGCAGTGATTTTTACAGAAGGGGGGGGGGGGCACAACTGAGGTAAAGTCATTAAAGCAAGATAAGTTAGGAGAGAAATATAAACTGAAACAGAACACTGACTTGATATTATTATCAAAGAGTCCTGAGACTCCTGACAATATCTTGTTTGGTTCAAAGAGCTGCGTTTCCAAGGGGGCTCAAAACTACATTGTCCTCCCTAAGAGATCATGAGAATATAACCTCCTTGCATTTACCAACGTCGTTAAAATCACTTCTCTGACCAACAATAATGTACACAAACCTACTAACCAACACACATACACAAATTTTGTCACAACCTGAACGACAGCAGGTGAGGAGACAACAACCCCGTTTAAATTTTTCGTGGCCTCAACAACTTCAAACTCGAGTAAGGTCGTTCCAAAACGCGTATTATACGAATTCCCTTTGGCTACACATTCCTGGTCCAAATTACCTGCTAGTAAGATATGTCTGAAGACATAAATCAAGGTATAAAACACTCACAAAGGTCACTCACACGCTCAGGTCGATCAGTTACCTAACTTCCGGATTCAGGAGCATCATGGGAAAGATTACAGAAATCCTGATCGCTGATTGGTCGACGATATTGACCTCTCGTAACCTTTGTGAGCGCCAAACACAAACCGCCATTTTGTTTCGACTAGTCTGAGCCGACAGAATATCTCAGGACTCAAATATTCGCACGTACAAGCGCCGTGTCTTCGATTAGAAGCCACATAATGGATGATAATATATTGAGGAAACTGCTGGGTAGATTTAAGTTTCCAGATCTGCGGCAGGCTCTCGAAGAGTGGAATTGTGTGGCACTGGATGAAGAGTTGTTTGTGGGAGGGGGGCAGAAGAAAGCTGTGGTAGATCGACTAGTCAGAGCTTGTCAGCTTCAGGTGAGTTCAACTTCATCATGAGTCTCATTTTATTTGACCCTTGATTTAATCACATTTATAATAGTTGACGTCTGTTCACGATGTATTATCAAGAGTTTTGATATTTTTCTAGGGAGAAGAGATAGGACTGGAAGAGCTTGGAACACTGGACCTTGTGTGTAAGTTTTATAAAAAAAATATTTTTTTGTACACACTAGTCTACATACAAATATTTTTTGTCTGCTAGTACATGTATTTTATCCTCATTGTATTGGGGTGTCTTTCCTTTGTGTTGATGTATTGGAATTGTTATCTTCCCCAGATAACAAGATGTATTCCAGGAGTAGAATATGGAGTGCATACCATTTCACTGGTTACAAAAGTAAGTGGATTTCAATTTCAAACAAAATGTACAGTATGTCTAAATTCTAGTTCTGTATTTTGTCAGGAAGCCCACTGTTTCAATTGTTATGCTGTTTTTTATCAGCATTATGTATGTCTTTGTGTCAAGAAAAACAAGCTTTTTACTATTTGTACAATGTTTTTGAAGTGGAACCTTTCAGTACTGTACAATATGTTGAATGAGACGTTTGTTTGTATTTTCCTTGCAGAAAAACTGGATGACTGTACTGTTTCTGCTGAGGTATTTCAAAGGGCGCTTGGGAAGCAGTTGTTCTTCTACTTTAGACATGTGAGTAATAAATAGGAAAGAGTTTTGTTGTGTTGCACTTAAGGGGGCACACCCCAGTTTATTTGGGGCCTCTATTCGAAGCTGCACACCCTCAAATCTAGCGACCGTCTCTGGCGTGGAATAATTCGGAAGGAGAATAACTGTATATGGGACGAAAGGATATCTCTTCAGCTACAAGTCAAGCTGAGTTTGGTTTCTTCAACCTTTTTAAGTTTGGTAAAATCAACGGAAAAAACATTATTTTCACTCCAAAATTAATGCCCAAAATTGCGAATTTTCGCGTAGGATAATCCCACAAAAAAAAATTTTCCGGCAGAAATGACTGATGCTGGCAGAAAGACCCAAGCCTTGACTATACCCGAGTAAATTATAAAGAAAATTCTAGTACTGTAATTTTCTAAACAGTCCACGGCGCGAGGGGTTGCAAATCCACCCCTACGAAGCCGCAGAGCGAAAACTAGGTCAAACGGGCGGATTACACTTGGCGCGCAAGGATACCCGGAAGTAAGGTTCGGAGCCAAAAGAAATTTTCACCCCAAAATCACCATTTCTTACACTCTTCAGCCATGTTAATGTTTAATGATACTTCGTGGCAGTTAATAAGAAATGTCACCTCAAACTTGGACCCTCAAAACCCTTTCGTCACTTTTTTACAACGGACTATCGCGGACCCCGGTCGCGGAAGAACTGGGGTGTGCACCGTTAAATGCCTAAATCTTAAAGACCAGGGCTCGAAATACTGGGTGCATATGTGCCTTAATACAGGTGAAATTTCTGATGTCTGCCTGCACCTACTCAGCACTGGTCCATGTACTGGGGTTATATACTAGTAGGTACATGTACATGTATTTTGAACCCTGAAAGTGTAAACTGACATGTTGAAAATTTAACATAGCTTTTTATGACAAAAATACATGTACCACATTCCATGGAAATGTTAAGCAAAATGTGGTGGGTTTCTACTAGTATATGGTTAATCCTTCCCTCTATTCCCAGGTCCTGTGTGTGAGACAGTATAAGGATGCACTGTGGGTGTGGCTGATGGTACAGGATAAGAGCAGTACTGTGTGGACTCCCAGTAACATTGTACACATGGTGTACTACCCTGCCTCTCCATACATCTTCACTTCAACCATGAAAGCTGAGTATAAGGAATACATCCTACAGGTAATACATTGGCAGGCTAAAAACATGCTGCAGAAACCAAAGTATTATACAGTGAAGACCTATATTTCTTTGTTAGCAATCCAGCAGCCCTTTCACATTTGCTTGGAACCACTTGACAATTATTATGTATACAATTTCATCATTTGCATCATCTGTGACATTCATTTCAAACTGTAATAACGTCTTTATGTTGCTTCTCTGATAAAATTATGCTTGCATTTCCAGGCTTTACTGCTGACCATAGGATACAGTAAGGCCCAGTTTATGGACCTGTCAGGGAGGGATGTTGAATCCGTGGCAGAGTTGGCAAAACGCAGACACAACCAACAACATGTCAGTCCTGAGTCTCAGAGGAGCAGAAAGAGGAGGAAGCAAGGTAAGGTGTTTTATTCCATATTAGTACATTAGTAAATACTTCCAGAAATGGCATTTGCAATTTTATTTATCTATTTATGCCACACCAATTTGATCCGTTGGTTCTTGGATATCTAAAGAAAAAACATGAAGTGACAGGACAAAAAATACAAATTAAAAACAGACCTAGGCATCCTGTAAAAAAATTAAGTGGGCGAATCTGAGAACCAATTACAATTTTACATGTACATGTAGTTAGATTGGTGTTGCCTAAGTATTTGACTTAGTAATTTATGAGCTATTGAAGTTATCAATCTCAATTGTAATATCATCATCCACTGTATTCTGCATCTGTATAGTAGTATATATACAATTTTACTGCCAAATTGTAACAGAATTTTTTTGTTTTGTTATTTTTGGTTGGCTATTCAACAGACACAGCCAGGACAGCCCTACTAGCCACTGGCTATTACGAAAGGGCTTGACCTGCTGACAATACATGAACAAACCATTACAGTAACAATATGATATGTGTAGCTTAACAGCCTATAACATTATTCTAACGTAAATAAAAACTTTAATAACTAGAAATTGATTTTAGCCAAGTATTTATACACTGTATTAAGATATAATATGTAATATACATTGTAATGAAACTAGTCCTATCTAACAGGTAGTGTTAAGTTTACTGACAGCTTAAAAACCACTGGATATTTCTGATAAATTCCACACAGCAGTTTGTAACATTTTTGCTTTTGTTGATATACACATAATAAGAGTCATTGATTTACAAGAAAAGGTGTCTTTCCAAAAACATTTAAATATCTTCTAGAGCAAGTGTGGGAGCCTTGGTGTGTACATGTACAAATGGCACCCAGGCTACAGGACTCCTACTCAGGGCTAACCATTGCAGTTTGTTAGTAGTTCTTCAAAGCAACAATCTATCAATCCATCTAATCAATCATCTAATTGCCATTAGGCAGCAGGGATGTGTATGTATGCTGCTGCTGACTGCTGGGGTCCCTCAGGGGTTCATAGTGGTTAGGGCTGTCAGCACCAGGGGCAGCTGCTGTCTGTGATTGGTTATCAACTGACTCATCCTCATTCTCATATATGACAACCTGCGGACCAGCTTCAGCATCTTTAGCAGCTGCTGTCACACAGCTGTTCACATATTTGTGGGACTGTGGACCTTCTCCAGAACACAGGGAGGGAGATGGAACCTCATAACCATCGTTAAAGCTGTCAAGACTCTGCCTGTTGCCTGCACCTCTGTGTGGACTTTCTGACTGATTGACCTCACCTATGGTGTTGTACTCTACTGTATCAGGGTCCTCATCTGTTGGGAGGTTATAGATATGCTGGCTGTCTTCTGTATCAGGATGTGGTGTTTCAGATTGACTGTTTATGCCTGCATTTGTTGTAAATCCATGCTGCCTTATCTGGTCATGGCGACTGGATGTGCCTGTGGGGTTTGTGTTACTAAGATCCCTTTGCCTCCTCTTAAACAGGTACAGTATTGTAAAGGTACTAGTACAGATAAGGAGGAGTCCAAAAATAACTCCCAAAGCAGCAAGCAAGGGCACAGACAGGACAATGCCACCACCAGTAGGGCCAGGGTTGCTCTCTGTCATTGTGGACTGAAAACCAAAAGGAGAGTCAGAACTGACTGTAGACGGGCCTGGGTTAGAGTCAGCAGTGGGAGTGTTGCTCTTTGTCAGTGCCTTTGATGTTGACTTTGCTAAAGGATCAAATGGAGGAGAAGAACTGACTGTAGACCAGCCATGGTTAGAGTCAGCAGTGGGGGTGTTGCTCTGTGTTGGGGACAATGTTGGTGCCTTAGTTGTTGACTTAACTGACTGATGGAAAGGAGAAGAGCTGATGAATGAAGACAAGCTTAGAGTAAGAGTAGAGTCAACAATGTGTTTTGTGCTGGAAGTGGAGTAGACTGGTGTCATGTCTTCACAGATCAGGTCTTCAGGATTTACATCCTGTAAATATTGGCCTATCAAGTTTGCAGGTCCAGCACATCTGATCTGGTTTTCGAATGGTTTAGACCCGTTCATCCTCTGCCTAAAGGGAGCCATCATACAATCACACTGCCAGGGGTTGTTGTCAATGCGTACATTTGAAATGGAAGCCAGTATGTCATATGCCATGGGGGGTAATGTCTCTAATTGGTTATTGTTTAATGAAAGCTCTGACAGCACTGAAATATTCAAGTTTGATAAGGCCTCTACAGGGAAAGTGTTGATGTTAGTATGATAAAGACTCAGTATTTGAAGCTGAAGCAGATTCTCTAATGTGTTGGCTGTGATGGTGCCAATTTTGTTGTACCCAAGATTTAGATCACGTAGCTGTGTTGTGTCACTGAAGGTGCCTGCCTCAATATTGTGGATGTCATTCCCATTAAGGTAAAGCTTCTCTAAGTTGCCAAGTCCCACAAATATGTCATCTGGCAGACTAGTTAACTTGTTACTGGAAAGTCGCAAGTCTTTTAGATTAGCTAGTCCAGCAAATATGTCATTTGGCAGGCTAGTTAACTTGTTATCGGAGAGCCACAATAGTCTCAGGATACCAAGTCCAGCAAATATGTCAGTTGGCAGATTAGTTAACTTGTTACTGGTAAGCTGCAAGTCTTTCAGATTAGCTAGTCCAGCAAATATGTCAGTTGGCAGATTAGTTAACTGGTTATGTTGAAGCCACACCTCCCTCAAGTTACCAAGTCCAGCAAATATGCCAGCTGGTAGACTTGTTAACTGGTTATTGTGAAGGGTTAAGTACCATAGGTTACTAAGTCCAGCAAACATGTCAGTTGTTAGATTGGTCAAATGGTTATCACCAAGGTTCAGGTGAGTTAGGCTGGTTAAGTTGTGGAATGTTTTGTTATGGATCATGGAGATCTGATTGGCTTGAAGTTCTAATGTTGTTAAGCTCCTATACCTTGAGAAATCAGACTGACTTAAGGCTGTGATGGCATTGCCTTCCAAGTCAAGTTTTGTGATGGTTGTAGGCAGGTCCTGAGGAACACTGCTGAGGCCGCTGTTGCTGCAGTCACACTTTGATGAACAGCTGCTGCTGCAGGCTGCGGTCGGGCCAGTTTTCCTCATCACGATGATCAGTAGAAGAACCAGCATCCTCCTTCCTTTGCTGGACATACTGAAGTGTTGCCTGTACAACATATAGAGATGAGATACATTAGCATCAAAGTTCATCTGTGGCAGGAATCCCGGATTCAACACATTTGGGAAAATTCAATGTTCCAATAGGATCAGTATGTGGTCATTTTCACTTTCCTAAACAGGGCTCGAAATTCATTACTGGGAATAGGTGCACTGGTGCACCCAACCTAAAAAATTAGGTGCACAAAAGTTTTTTGGGTGCACCATTTAAAACAAAACAAAACCAAACCAAAACAGATCTTACTGCTCCTCTTATGAGCTTGAATCTGAAATGGTAGCTAACTTCAAAATCTTATTACAAAACAATGACATGTACAAAACAAGTACAACAACAAAGATTTTTATTATTTTCCTGACAATTAGATGCCAAGAATATCCTGTATACTATCATACATTTCATACATACAAAAATACCTACAAAAATATTTGGTTTCACCAGTGCACCCACAGAAAAAAATTGGGTGCACTAAGGTGCACTTGCACCCTGTATTTCGAGCCCTGCTAAACCACAGAACCAGCTTGTCACTGGCCCAATAAATTTTAATACTGTCCACATATTTTGTCTGTGTTTTTATCAAGAAATATCAGACACACTTGTACTTCATTTACATCTCACACCTATCCTCATAACAATTGTCATACAGATCCATCTTCCCAAGTTATAGGGGTACAGTATTTTAAAAGAGTCAATTCTGTAAAGAATTCAATTTTTAAGATATATTCACAGATCAAAGAGTGATCGTGACACAGTAAACAATGCCTCTACCCCTGAGCCTGAGGCGTCGCCAAAAAAGGTAATGCTTAACTCAGGACGAACAACATGAAAAACAGAGTTGGAGAGGAAAGTCTGTATCTGAAAGTCTGAGTCCACCAATACAAATTTTCCTTCCAGCTCTCCGTACGGTTTTCATTTTGACCCCTTGTTAGATTTTTATGTAAAAATGTACAACAAGAAATGAACTTGTGAAACACTGGCACATACAGAGATCCTGCTCCAGTCCTATACAGAGATCCTGCTCCAGTCCCTGAAGAAACGACTTGGCCCAAGACAAAGAAATGATGTCTGCAAAAATAAAACAAAGGTGTTTTAAGGCCTTCTGCAGTTCAAAGTACTGTATGCTAAACCATTCATGGTTTTTTATAAGACACCTGAGAACACAGCAGTAATCTTTCCAACAAGTTTACATCTTAATCTTATCATGGTTCCAAAACACATCCTGATCAAGTATGGCACATAGAAGAAGTTGATAGTCTCACCTCAATATGGAAGGAAGTTGTCTTAAGTCTGCAAAGTCCTTACGTCCCAGTGTTAACTGTGTATTTTAGTGTGTCCTTGTGGTTGAACTACTATACCTGATAATTATAGGCGTTGGGTGTGGAGGATACTGCCTTTTGTATTACATGCCTACAGGTGACATCTATAACCTGTGGTATTAATTATATGTGCCAGCCATGTGAACATAATGAGTTGTTTGTGTCTATCAGGGCTCAACATACTTTTTCTACACTGCTATTCAGTTAAGAAATTGTAATTCAGAATACTGATTGTAATATTTTTTAGCCTACAAAAGTTCACTAGTCTATATTTTTCTTGCAATGATATTATTCTCAATTTTTTCCTGAGTGATAATTGCAGGTTTCATCTGGGTATTTTGAGTCCATTACCGTAAACCATCACTTTATGGAGACTGTGTTAAATGGCCATAGGATTATGCTTACTGCATTATGAACCTTTTCTGTTAGGGGGCATTTTTACACTGTCTCTAGAAAAAAAAGGATGGTTTTATAATTATTTTGAGGTTTATTGGCAAATGCAATGTGGTGAATCACAAATATTTTGTATTTCTTATCATAGTCACATAGTTTGATTCCAGTTGCACTATTTCCTTTTTTTGAGCAACACAGAGGAAACATTTACAACTGATCATTTACTTGTACATGTTGACCACAATACCTTGGTAGAGTTGACAAAAAGTTCACTATTTTGTACTGCATCCTTCAGAATCCAGATGAGGAGTCTGAGAATGAAGATGTCATACAGGAGGATGCTGAAGACAGACAGTGGAGGGAAGACTACACAAGGGAGACATTTGGGGATGAGCCACAGCCCACACTGGAGAATGTAGTGTACAAGGTAGGCCATCCTGTATCTTGAAGTCTGCAGTAACCTTATCTATGGGCTCATCCTTGCACCATTGTATCATTTGTAATGGCAAATACATGTACCAAAGAACACATCATATGACCCTTATTTATACTCCGAATATCTAAGTCAGTTTCGGCATTACAGTTTAAAGTAAGCACCCTTACAACATGTTTTGTCTGATGAAGTTACTATCACTTACCAATACCAGTCCCTTGACCGGGGGTGGTCGTGGAGTTCTCTGTTTTGATCAGACCATCCATCCCATTAATTCTCATTGTCTTCCTAGTTGCATGCAAGCTTCAAACATGGAGGGGTAGCACCGAGCATGGACGACCAGCCTTTCCAGATGACTGTCAAATTCTCAGGTAAGAACTGCTGTTTCTGATTTTAGTCAGTACAGCACAATACAACAAGTACTTACTATCAAATCAGGTCTTAATTAGGAGTACCAAACAGCTCATGTTTTTCCCATCAGCCCAGGTTCATGATCAGACATGGGGGGAGAGTGCTCACACATTTTGAGATTCAAATCATGGGATTGAGAGTGGTTGTAGATGGTCCTTTGGATGTTTTTATATTCTCACCCAAGCTTTTTGTCAATTTTATCCATATTGATTGGTTTACAAAATCTTATGTCACACGTCACAAAGTTTTTGCAATTGACAGAAAAACAGGTGCTATCTAGAGTCTGATAGCATACATTTGGGTGAATTTCTAGCATCCCTTCTGCTGAAAAAACACCTCTTTACCATTCATATTTTGTTGACAATACAGGCAGGAATGTGTTAGAAGGTATGAAGGCCATGGGTCCAGCTGGGATAGCTGAACCACCGCTTCCTTCATATCTGGAGTCAATTCCAAATATTGGCAAGAATTTCATCCTTCTGGCAGAGAAGAGGAAACCAGGTGATGGTGATGGAAAGGAATGATATTACCAGGACACTAGCATTTGTAGATTAATTAGTTCATTGATATTAAAGAACTATATAAAAGTATGAACCTCAATAATCTGACAAGAAATGTGGCAATTTTACTTTCCTTAGTTTGATACCATTTTTTAACATTCCTCAATAATGGAAGCATTTACCACAAAAGGCTTTGATACCATTTTTCAGCATTACATAGTATGTATGTTTTGTTTTGATGTTTCCATTGTATATATAAGTTGTTTGTTATACTGTAATTCATCGTAAGATTATACATGTACTTGGAAAAAAAGATCTTGATTAAAATGATTAGAGTCTTTTACAGTTTCAAATGTGATTTATAACAAAAGGTAATGTTTAGGTGTTGCTGATCAAGAGCAGTTTTGTAAATAAGAACAAGAACTTTGTGACAAAATCCTCTGCACTTGGCATCTGGAGGAGAAGCGTAGGTTGAACTTTTAACAATAAACATGTTGTTTGTACACTAACAACAAAGACTGCTACTTTAAGTAGGTACAGTACAGACAGTGTTGGTTTTGTGACTTTTGTTATGATGTATGATTTTATTGTTCAAGGACAGATATCATTGGTCCCCACAGCCTGGAACAGCCAGTAGGTGCTGTCTCTGAAGATGAGGAGGGTGTAGAGGTTTTCTCCTCCATGGTGGAAGCCATGCTCCCTCCTGGCCCAGGAGACAGGACTGTCCGCAAACCCGTGGACGGTCAGGGCTGCCCAGGGGGACGGGCACTGGTTATCTCTCATGTCAGATCTGTTTGTGAAATAAAGCATGACAGACATGTGTCTGTTATCATGATACAAGTCATGGTCATACACATTAATATATGTGCTTATTGTTTGCAAAGTTCTTCTCCATTTGATTGTGTCAATCAATCAATATACAACACTACTGTACTGACAACTACTAAGATCTACACTACAATAAGCTAATACATGTATGTTAAATATACATTGTACTAGTACATAGTATATGTACTAGTATAAGATTGTGAACGAACTGTGTACTAATATACATTTGTACATGGGAGGCCTGGTCGCAAAATATATTGGTGAATCCTGTCTTTTCAATGTTTGTATCATGAAAGAGGCAGTATCACAGGAATTCTGATACACACAAAACCTGTGGTCTTAAATGGCATATACTACTAAGAAGTGATTAGATGCACAATCATTAATGTTGGCATCTGCTCCTGTACCTGACTGCCTCCAGAACTGCCCACACCCTCCCTGGTGCTATGAACCCTGTCATGGAACGTCTCACAGCAGTTGCTGTCAGTTTGTTAGGTTTAGGACAGCTGTATCTGGAAATGTAGTGCTCCGGTGCTTCATTGCTGCAGATAATAAGGAACATGATTAATCCTACATACACCACAATTACTAGCCTCCTTCGCAGTCTTGTTGGGCGTGGGCGTAATTTTTTCTCTGAGCGACGCGAGTAATATGCCGCCGCGAGAGACGATTTGCTGCCGAGGGACTTTTGCCACGGAGAGAAGGTTTCCGCGCTCCAACAAGACTGCTTCCAATCGGCGACTAGAAAGGACCTCGGATTAAGCCAGCCTTTCATAGAGGCTATTAACATGTTCGTGCAGGTCCAATTCACATGTTCGCGCAGGTCCAATTCACATGTTCGCGCAGGTCCAATTCACATGTTCGCGCAAGGGTAATTCACAGATACGCATGGAGCGCTCGCCTTTTGTCAACGGTTGGTTTTATTAGCTTGCGTTATAATGGAAGGTTCCAACAGGGAAAGGTTGAACATTGGTAATGTTACAACAAAGGCATTGCTGTGCATATTTAAGCATCCCATGCAAACAAACCAAGACAAACTTTGCAGTACTATTTTTGCTGGTGAAATGTGCCATTCTTTTTATTACACAACTTGCTGCGGAGCGGTGCGTTACCCTCCTATGACCAGTGAGATCAACCCGCCACCAAACAACATGGCGGCACTTTGTTTATCTGTCCACGTCCCCCAGCAATATCGCTTAGCTTGCGGGTTCCTGTGGTAGTGATCTGTTTAAAGTTGTTTTTCGTAGCAGCAATGACTACGGGATTTTGTCGAGTGGATAGGGCTCGGTTTTCGGGAATGGTTGGCGTTCTACCGACGGGTTGATCGGCGACCGCTAGAAAGTTGCAAGTTTCGGCTCGTTGAGGAATGGGGCGTGAACACCTCCCTGCACTGGTGGCGTTTATTGCGGGAAGTTCACACATCCATGCCAATCGCTCCTAAGTGTTTTTTGATAGCCCTTTCTAGTCGCCGATTGGAAGCAGTCTTGTTGGAGCGCGGAAACCTTCTCTCCGTGGCAAAAGTCCCTCGGCAGCAAATCGTCTCTCGCGGTGGCATATTACTCGCGTCGCTCAGAGAAAAAATTACGCCCACGCCCAACAAGACTGCGAAGGAGGCTAACAATTACCAGGTAGCAAGGCTGAAAAATTGAAACAATCCTTAACTAGAGACATGTCTAGCTGGTTGCTAACCTTAGCCCCACCACTGACAAAAACTTCTACATTGCTTTGGTACTGAAGCAACATTGCTTGTAAAACTGGTTTCATAACTTCAAGTACAACTCATCTTTAACCTTTACATTCATGTTCATATGACCTAGGGAGAAAGTTAAGTAAATACGTGTAGTTAATTTTTTTCAATTCTTATACAGTACATGTACTTACCAATTGATCCCACAGGATACAGCTCCCAGCCATTCGTACCACTCCCTAGCAGTACACCACTCCCCGTCATCACTCTCCTCCAGCTCTGAACTGTTTACTACAGGAAGCAGTAGCTCTGTGTGCTTGTTGGTCTGTTGAACCTGGCTTCGTCTGTCACACCTGTAGCTGTCTTCAAAGTGGGACAGTACGGGGCCTGCCGATTGTCTGGTACCTAGTACACAAATATAGTGTTCATTGATGCAAAGCAAAAAGTTGTCTCCTTTTAAGACTACATGTATTAAGATATTGTAAAATAAATGTCATTGGCATGAAAGTAGATGGAGTACCTCTAGGTTTCCATGAAAGCAGAAAGTCTGCTTTTAGTTCTGTCCTTTGAAACCCTTTTTTCACTCGCTCGTAATTCTTCTTCCCAGGTACAAAGATATCTTGGGTAAGGTCAACCTCCACAACTGTAATAGGTAAAAAGTTTAGTTAATGTATTTTTAAAAAATCATGCTATGGATCTAAATTTTTTATTTTACATGTATGTCATCTTAAGTAATGTCAAGTAAAGAAGAGTCAAAACAGGATAATGTTGAGAGTCCTTTCCACTTACCAAACTTTCTCTTGACCTTCCTATTAAACTGTGATGGCTGTCCCACAAGCCCCAGTTCCTCATATGTGTCCTTGTGTACAGACAGGATCAACTTACCTGTAAGAATAACATTACACAGGACTCTTCTATTTAGACTGTATTGCTGAGATATGGAATAAGACAGTACAGCATGAACATGTACTGGTAAACAGTAGAACTGTAAAGGAACAAATCATAGTTACCAAGAGGAAGTTACCTGTGGGTAGTACTGCATAGACATTGTGCTTATCGATGTGTGTGTTGTGGGACAGCATATACAGGGAACCTGTGAACATATGTTAACAAGGAGGAACTTAGTTGTACAAACTACGGTAGATACAAGTATTCAAGCCTGGTTATGCTGGTATAGTTTCCAATGCTATATTTTGGTTCTTACTCCAAATCTAATTTATTAGCTTCCTTGTTGAAACTTATGTAAAACAACTCAAAGGGTACAAACCTTTCTTCACGAAATTTTCAATAAAATCTTTGTTGATCAACTCTGTAAGTGGAAGATCCTTGATGATGTAGAAATCATCAGACATGTCAAACACTGCCTGGGCGCTAGGTGGCAGCTCTGCACAGCCAGGAATGAACAGCTCCATCTTCATGTGAAAAACATGACACAAGCAACAAAACAAAGTATGAACTTCCTGTGCCACTATGTGTTACTGGTTTGTTAGTTTCGCATCCCATATGTGCAGAGAACATCTTACATGTTGTGATTTATTGTTGAACTATCTATGGCAGCAAGATAGGGGTGTAAGCTTATGTTTCTGTTGTCACAATTTCTAAACAACTGTCTATAGCTATAGCTACATTAAGTGTGTAATGCTAAGGGATATATGTTAACGATAACAGCACCCCACGTAATGACGAGAGAAAGTTTTTATTTTAGCCTCACCTTATGATTGAAGTAATGCTCCTCCACATTCTTCCGATGTCTGGATTTCTCGTCATCAAAGCTTGACTTTTCAATCACCAGCTTACTGCGGGGTGGACTAAGATCTACCTTCAGTGTCAGGGACATTGGGTATCGTTTAAAGAAAAAAGCCCAACTTTTGATGATAAACTACTAAACCCAACCAGCCTGGCCTGAGTTATAAAGGTACAAGGTACCAACCAACTCACGCTCGCTCGTGCACTGAAATTGACCTTTGACACTGGTATATTGCATTACGTAAATGGGGTGTGTTATTTTGTAATGTTGTTTTACTTTAGGCCATTTTGGAATATTTCTAGCTGCAATTAGGTGTAATGCTTTTTATCCTATCACAGACTAATAGCTTAATGTAAAATATTAATTTTTGAAACGTTCATCCGTAAGCTGACATTGATTAGTTCAAAATAAGCAATTACTGGTCCCCCGTGCATTAATGGTACAGCTCAAACAGTGATGGCGGACGAAACATCGGAAAGGAGTCCTGCAAGTTGACAAAAACCCGTTCTCACGAATTCCTTGCGTACATATCCCAGGTATGTCGGCGTTTTCTTAAGCCTGTTACCACATCACCGCCGTTCAGCTACCTTTCACCCGGTTGTACTGCCGCTGTGTTTAATAAATTGCATTTATAGTCAGTTATGTGGGGAGGGGTGTTTGTGTTTGGTTTCTTGTCGGCTATAATGTTTTATTTGTGGCTCATAGAGATTGACCTCGCTATCTGCTGCCAACTGAAATCTGTAAGATTCAGTAATGATAATGTTAAGAACTGAAAAGAAGGTTCTCTTTGGTACCGCCTGGGTTTGATAGTTGAATATAAATGAAGGAGGTTAGCATAGCTTGCATAGATGGAGGGACTCTATTCTAACTTCCTTGGTATGAATATACAAAAAAAAAATACGAAGAGATTAGGGTACGTTACTGTTGCTTATGACTATTTATGAGACCAAAAACGATATTTTCTGTATTACTGTTTTCTCCTTTAGTACTAAGTAATAGTCAAATGAACCATGGAATGATGTAACATTACAGTATTAAATACGGAAGATCTGTTTAAGGTATAGTATATACACAATGCAGAAAATATACAGCATCATGCAGTTTATCTTCTCATCGCCTAGCATAGCTGTACTGAGCAGGCCTGAGTGATGGAGGTTGAGGAGATCTGTCCTCCCATCAGCCACCTGGAGCAGCCGCCCCGCGGACAGGTGCAGTGTCATGTGGAGGGGTGTGGCCAGACGGTAGCCAACCAATCAGCTCTCAGCATGCACATGGCCAAGAGACATGGCCTACCAAGGGTAATTAGGTTCATTCATGTTATGTAATATCACAGTAGATATCATCTGGCTACATATGGTGTGTTACGCTGAAAGGCGGTTATACTGGCTATACAGATACAGATATGGAAATCAGAATGACTAAACACAATACTAGTAATCAGGCTGTCAATTAATAAGGAACAAATACTGTACTTAGTGTTTTCCCTGGCTTTTGCAATTAAGTTAACACAATCCACATTGTACCCACAGTCCATGGACACAGATTTGGCACCCTTCACAAAAGGGAAAAAGAAGAAGACCATAAAACACTTCTACTGCCCTGTAGCTGACTGTGAGAGGAGGCTGGGCAGCAGGAGACCTTTCACCTCCATGTTCCTCATCAAACAGGTGTGTTCAACACTTCCAATCAGTGTTCAAATGTTTATGATTCTCATACAACTTTAGAATATACAAACTATATGTAACAGTTATATGTTAAGTGTTTCCAGCATTGTCAGTGCCATCATGTTAAGAAAAGTGTAAAACTAAAAGAAATAGTTGTTGTGATGATTTTGCAAATTACATGGAATTATAGTTTGTGTAGTACATGTAGTTATGTGGACCATCCTCCAGGATCCAAGTTGAGTTCTAACAATTAGCGCTTTGCCCCCAGCATTACGCCCGTATGCATGCTGAAAAGAAATTCCACTGCACAAAGTGTGGCTTTGGCTTCGCCTTCAAGAAAGAGCTGGAGAGACATGAGAAGACATGTGGTCAGATCTGGCACTGCAGCTGTGGCTGTCCTTACACCACCATGGAGGCCCTGTGGACACATGCTGCCAGGAAGGGACACTCTCTTCCTGACAAACTACTGAAGAAGGATGACTCTAAAGTGTAAGTTTTGTTGCCATGCACATTTTGTGCTGTTAACAGTCCTGTTGTTTTCAGGGGGATACAAAGAAACTAATTGTGAATTTTTATAATTGCAGACAAAATGCCAAGAGAAAGTCTCAGTCTATCCCTCAGTCACAGCCTGTCAAGGTCATTGTGATCCTGCCCAATCAGGTGCAAGGTACACATCCTCCTACTGCTGCTTCAGTACAGGCACAGTCATTGGTCCATCCACCTGACTGCGTCAGCCAATCAGGTAGTATGACTAGGTCTCAGCCTGATGTAATTGGACAACATAATACTTCATCACACAACCAATCAGCAAGTTATCATCAAGTACAACCAGTTTGCCACACCACTTTTTCTTCTGTGAATAGGAATCATGTATCATGTGCAAAGATTCCATCATTTAAGCACAGCAGTGTTTCTTCCAATACACAAGAGAAAGAAAAAGTTGTTCCAGCCACTAAAATTAGAAGGTATGTCCAAATACTACCCAAGCCAAAGGTACCTTCCATATCCTATCATGCTGTCTCTGGTACTAATAAGTTGTCACAAAATTCTTCAACATCTGTACGATGTGAGACAGCCGTGCAAGCCACAACTACATCTGTGTGTGAAGTAGGGATACAAACAGCTGCACCGAGCTACATCAAGAGAAGACAGAGGATTGCTAGACAGAAGGAAAATAAGGAGGTGGACACTCGAGATGAGGGCACACAAACGGCAGGCAGAAAAAGAACATCAGAGAAACTGATCACTCAAAATGTGCAGACTGACTGTATACCTCTCAGTACTCAGATTGCCAGTAGACGGTTAGAAAACCTTGTCACTCAAAATGTTCAGACAGACTCTATTCCTCTGGACACACACAGTGCCTCCAGAAGACTTGAAAAGCTTGTCACCCAAACCATTCAAACAGACAGCCATCCCTTGCAGATGATGCCTCCGGGGCAGGCACAAACAGACTTGTTTGCACAGAGGTCGTCCACAGCTGTCCAGGCACAGCTAAGCCCTCCAATGTTGAGGGGTGTTTCAAATGCATGGATGCAGGTGGGAACACCGCTGAATTACACCACTAATGTGCAGACGCAGACATCCCGCCCTCAGAACTGTCACACACAGACCCCGTACCTGCACAACCCACCGTCTGCAGGTCTGCAGACTACAAGGGAGGGTCTGGGCTTCCAAGGACAGGCTGGATTCCCCAGGGAACAACAGTTCCCCTTGCCACAACAACCAGGAATTACGCAGGGATGGCTGACCGTCCCAACTCTCACCAACCCCATCTCACATATACCCAACATGGGGGAAGGAAACATATTGCTGCCTTCGTTCATTCCAAGTGTACCTCGGTCCTCGGATGGTTTCCTGAGTGGAGGCACGCAGACAGACACGATGTTCCAGGAGGCAGGATCCCTGTCTAGTGCACAGACACAAACCTTACCCCTCCCCTCTGACATTGAAGCCATGATCTTTGAGCACACATCCACACAAACCCTGGAGTCCAGTAGTATTGGCATTGACGGCAGCGGAGCTGACATGTCCTCTGTGGAGTTCTCCAGCATGGAGACTCAGACAACCGACCTTGACTTTGACATTGAAGACTTCCTGCTCCTGAACGACAGTCAGACCCAGACTAACCTGTCCTTTGCCTACCAGGACATGGAGCCGCTGCACTCCTACACTCAGACTGACCCTGAGTTTAACCTCCATGACCTGTTAATGTCCCAGCCCCACACAGACCTCCCCCCACAGCAGTCCTCCGCACACACACAGACCATGCAGAACACTGCTGACAACTTCCTCTCCAACATGGAGACTCAGACAGCAGCTAACGGCTTCCTGTTCCCAGAACTGGAGCTCACAGACATGGAGACTCAGGCAGGCTCCAGTTTTGTGGGAGGGGGGTCCGGAAATGCTCAGACTCAAACAACAATGGACAATGAGCAAGTTGACACACATACCCAAACATTATTGTCAGAGTTTGGATTTTTACAGTAACTATTACAGAAACAAGTATATGAACTAGAAGATAAGGTGATAATATGCATATTTATACATGTACAGTCTTTATTTTTTCTATGGTTGAGGAAAGAGTGTGTTCTTTTTTGAATGAAATTGATGGTGTTGTTCGCAAAAAAAAAAAAACTTACTAAAAGCTTCTTTAGTTTGAAAGCATAAAAGGTCAGTAATAACTCAAAAGTAGTCCTGCTCCATATCCAAAATGCGCACTTACATCATATCCTTGAAGCAAGACTGCACAGATCAATAAATGCATGTTTTCCTCAGTGACTACTGATAACAGGATCCTACATGACTGTGATAGTAATTCCATACACGTGTACATGCCACATTTGATATATTGCTTATCAGGATCATACACTACACATGGAAAGCAGACTTGACATAATGACACTTAAGTGCTTATATCAGCTATTATTAGGTATAGAGTACGTCATAAGCTTTTAATTTTTGCCATCAACACAGATGTAAGTGGCTTTTCAGGCAATTTTTGGAAACCCTTTCTGTGCCAAACATCCGGCCTTGTTCCTTTGACGTCAGTCGGTATAAAAGGTTTCTAAAGCTGCTCTCTTACATAAAAAGATGAAGTAACACACTGATGACAGGTAGTCATCCACGGCACTTAGCGGCTGTGGAAGGATGGGTGTGGGACTTGTTGCTAAGTGTAGGAAATTGAAGCAGGGTATTAATAAAACGTACACATGTAGTGATGCACAGGGCCATACCAGATGGAGGGACTATGCATATGCCCAAGGATGGGCAGTAAGTAGTCCTGAGTAAGTACGTTGTAGCAACACTTTTTCCGGCATCACTACATCAATCTAAAATAAATTTGCTCAGTATGATAAGCTATTAGCTTCTTTGTGCGGTGCAGTGCGTTCTATGGCTTCAATTCAGTGCGTTCTATGGCTTGAATTAAGCAAACAAAATGAATGATGGCTTATAACGTGTTTCTTCCGACAAGGCCATGATGTCGATATGACGATGGGGACTGGCATTCTGCGACTGAGAGATCAATACTAATGCAATGTTCAATTGTCAAAGGGGTGAGACGCGTACTGTTACGCCCCCTTCCTCAAGGTTTCTTCCCATTTCAAAAGTATCATTCCATGAATGTTACTGCTTTCTGTCAGTTCTCTTCTGTTCCCTTGTACGGTCTCCCTCGCACAGACATTTGTCATGCACATTTTTGCATATTCCGTAGGTCACATCCTGCCCAACATCTCACCACAGACCTGCCCATCGATCATAGTAAGGACTTCAGTAAATAGTTAAAGGTCGTCCGATCCTATTTGTACCAGGCCTCAAATCGATCTCGGGAATACCATTGTCCCCGTGTTCTTTTGAACGCCAGCCGTTCTCAGTGTTACTCTGTGGAAGTTTTTGTCCGCATCCGCCGAGATGGAAAATGCGATTTCAACCGAACGTTCTGTTTGGGTTACTAAAGGACTTTTTGATTGACGTCATGGAATCCATTACCTACTCAGAGGCTAGAATATGAGTACGAAAATACATTTTGTAGCTGCATAGCATTGAGCGTTTTGTAAACATTGCACTCTTAAGTAAGTGTGCCACAAAATACTAGTACTACGGTACCCTCTACCAGGCTAGGCTTCGGAAGACGACTGGAAAGAGTAGAAATTGGCCAACGCAAAGAGAGACTGTACTCTCTAGCGGACCATCTCCCCCGACATGTTATCTCTCTCTATTTGGTCAATTTCTACTCCTTCCAGCCGCTTCCCGAAGCCTGGTAGAGGCTAGAAAAATACGACCCGTGACATTCATGGTCTTTATAGCTGCGTGGCACAAGGACTCCTTTCTTTCTTGACCAGGGTAGCCATATATGGTGCTTCGGTCTTCCCCCTAACGGCTACAGGTGTTCCATGTTCCCATCTATAGCTGGCCACGACACCCTATCCTAGATACGGACCCCACCAGGGCAAAACAACCCCCACCGCCCTGGGCGGCTCTTCATACTTTCCTTTCACCGCACTGGTTCTCGGGTGTCGCGGGTTTAAAAGAATGCGCTCACCCTTGAAAACCACGGTTAGGCGGCAGTGATAAGTCTCTATAGACACAGGAGAACCGCGCACAATACTCCACGGGATTAATGGGAACAATCGAGGATTCTTATTTTAGGCCTTTTCCTTTGACTTTATTGAGATTGCAGCAAGGTTACCTTTTCCTTTAATAGTGACGAACGTCCCTTGTTGTAAACAACGGACATTAAAACTTTAGAGGTAGGGCATATTATCACTGAGCTTCTTAGCATCAATAAAACATAACGATCTGGGACTGTTTTCATCAGTTATGATAGATAGAAATCACACGAAAGTTGTTTGGCAGTCGTTTCTTATCGACTATTGATTCTTTTGTTTAGACAATTGATCTGTTTTTGTCGCTTTTGCGGAGGGCGTGTCTCGATTCGTCACACAATCATGGGAACTATCTATCCCAGACTTAAACTCATATATATGTATAACACGTACATCGTAAAGATGTTAACACTGACATCATAAAGTTCATTTTAAGAAAAGAATGTCGGATGTATATTGAGCGAATAAATTGTAGCGCAAGTATTCCATGATTTATATTCTGAGCGGAGCCGCGCGCTCCAACAGCGGTCACAGCTCTCAGCGGTGAATTACTTGGAAATCAGAGGCGGCGATGTGAGGTCAGGTCTTTCATGTGGCTCATCGATCAGCCTGCCTGAGTGGGCGGGTGTGTGGACGTGCGGACACAATCCGATTATCCACGGCTTCTACACCGCGCTCTGTCTGAGGCGATGTATGAACTTGGGACACACTTCACTGCCTCTGGCTCTAATCCTGCACTCCGTCTGGGAGAAGTACATAATGAGAATTCTGAATGAAGCTGGCAGCTGGGAACTGTCTGTAGACTGTAGAGCGATGGTGGTTCAAAGCGAACTCAAAATGCGGCAGGCTGGCTCTCACTCTCAGACATTCATTCCCAGAACGGGACAAACACAGATACAAGCTCTGTCAAACGGTCTAGCAGTTTTATAAAGCATCATCCATCAGGCACATTGGCAAGTGTAACCTTTTCATTGGTGTCCCTGGGAGAAAACTAGTGATTTCATACATTGTCCCAGCGACAAGAAAACATGACCACCTGTTGCACAGGCCGTGAAATAACCTTCAGAACCAGCTGGCGTTTTCGTACAGGAGGTATAATTAGGGCCAAAATTGATACATCAGAGATGACAGGGCATGTCATCACTGTCTACATGTTGTCTGTCTCGCAGTTGAAATAGAAGGAAAGAAAAAATATTGCAATATTCTTTCAGTGAAGTCAAGCGACATGTATGAT